AATACGTACAACCGCATAAACCTAAACATGGTGTTTAAAAATCAAAGCGCATTGACCGGGATCAAAATAACGCTGGAAGTATTGTACGCGTTATCTATTGTTATCAATGCTATACTAATAGTATTATGGATAATTGCATTGGTGGCCGGTTATCATGGTCCAGAATTAAATAACGAATTAAATACCGAATTAAATAATGACCAGTCGTATCAACATCTATGTACGTTTAACCAATTAATTATATTAAACATACATTGTATAAGTTATATGATATAACTTTTACATTTTACATCTAACCTTGTTCAATATCATTTCTAGTGATCGCGCTTATTGTAATGTCTGGATTGGGCTTAATATTATCTATCATTGGACTACTTGGTATAATACGGGAGAATAAATGCATCTCTATTATGCTCTTTGTACTAACCTCAATTGGCATAGTAGGCGACTTGGTGCTAGGTCAGATAATTACGGCCCTGTTTAGTCTGGTATTAGCCATACTGTTGGGTGTATTTGTGTGGCTAATTATTGATAAGTCAAAGGAGGGCCCACCCGTTGCCTACAACACTCAAAAAGCATAATTACATTATAAATGTTAATTTTTATCTCATATTATTATTCAATTTATTTTTATTATGATTTAATACTTAAATATTTTGTCAATTTATACCTTTATTTAATAAATAAATAACGGGAATAAAAATTAATCATATTTAATATTTTTAACATTTATTATTTTAATAACAACCAATCAATAAAATTAGTTTAAATATAAGTAATATAAACTTGCTTGTTTAATTTTATAAAATATATGCCGTTTTAAATTTTGTAATCCATAAATTTTTACAAGCTTTTAAATCTTTTTAAAAATAATTTACAGTAATCAAATATTTAAATTAAAAAACATACTTTATTAAATAAAATTAATTCGTTTTCAAACCAGTTTAATTAAACATGAAATTACATAAAAACAATACCACGTGTTATACCAATAAGGATAATAAATGCTAAACATTTCATAACAAGGAAATAATCACAAAATTTCGCATTAGGTTGAGTCTGGCACACATTTTGTTCACAATAAACATGGTTACTTAACTTAAAGCATCCAGTATTTTCAACAATCATTGTTATTTCAAAATGAACCTGATAATTCATATTGATAACCATTTAATAATTATTAGATAATACAGTATTATTGTAATTGTCATAATGGTGTATATAAGTTACCGTATTTTGACTGTGGTAAAATTAATGCTTAAAATTTTGTATTCATTAATTATCACAAGTAATGTGTTGTTAATAATTTATTGGACATTAATGCTGGTCACCGGGAAAAATGATCTTGATCTACAAACATCAAACTATTCTAACAATCAGCAACTAGGTAATTTTACAAGAAATAAATATTTTGATGTACTTATTAAATCTTAATTACCTTTACTTTATTATATCTAACAGCGATTACAGTTATAATAATGTCTGTTCTTATGCTAACATTTACAATAATTAATCTGCTTGGTAATGAACACACCTCAATTATGTCCCTGGTGTTAATTATTATAATTATGGAATTGGCTCTTGGTCAGCTTAACGCCGCATTATATGGCATTGTATTAGCCATACTAATGCTTATGGCAATATTATTTATGACCGAGGTTACAATGGTTATAACCGTACCCACAAAAGCTACTTTATTAGTATGACAAATATAATTAATTAATAATAAACAGTATGTTAATCCTACCTCATGCTTTTTCTTTGACAATTTATTACAAAATAATAATTGTTTTGTTTTATTTAAAATAATTGTTTGTGAGATATTTAATGTTAATATTATTTTATTTATTTCTGAATATTAATTTGTTTAATAAAATATTTATGTTAAAATAAAATTTTCTCATAAAATCTACTATAAATTTATTATAATAGACTCTATTAAATAGTTAATAATTATTTGTACCATTTATACTCATTATATATTTACCATGTATTGGACATACATTTTATTTAAATATAAGTTAAACCGGTTTTCAATGAAAATCACAGCCAATACAATATAATTATTGTAAAATACAAACAAAGGCTATACTCGATATGACGTAAAGTTACCACTTTCTCAGTATTAATATTACATCACATTTATGTAATAAACAAAGGCATTCATTGCAAAGTGCTTTCTAGTTTACATAATCTACAAACACACATGGTAGTCTTTATTTTGTGTATGTTTTACATCACCCAAATTGTGATTACTATTTAACAACAACAACAAAATATGTATATTCAAAAATTAACTGCAATATTCAAGCGTAACGTACAAACATTTACCTTGGTCAAAGCTATACTGACAGTGTTATACACTATGCTGGCAATACATATTATTGGCTATATTATGCTATTCATATTTTTGATATTATTCGATATGTTTAACAACGAAAATCGTGGTAATTATTACACAATAATTTAGCATTATAATTTTCAATCTAATTAATATAATATTCCATGTCTATTGTTTATTACACAGTTTCACTAATTGACATGATATCTTATGATATCTTATGGCAGATAATTTATTTAATAATTACCATCATCGGGTTGGTTGGCATCATTAAAGAGCACAAGTGGTTTGTTATGGCGGGTATTGTATCGGAATTAGTGATTGCAACCGGGTTTGGGGTTTGGGGTGCAGTCGGGGCCGTAATGACTGGCCTTAGTTTTCTATACGTTAGGCTTATTGTTGAAAAGCAAAGGGAAGTCACCTCTAAGTGTCCCCTATAAGTGCTTTTTAATTACATACATGTATATTTAATTATTAATACTCATTATTGCTACTTTTTTGTATGTATTGCAAATTTATAATAAATAAATAAAACGTTGTATAAGTATCTAGTTTGTTGTATTGATGTTTGTTGAATATTCCAGTGATTTTGTGATACTTTATAATACTTTATAATAGTAAATACTTTATAATAAATTAAATAATAATTATTTAATTTGTATTAAAAATATAATTTATTGCATATATAAATTAAGTTATAACTAACATAACTTAAATAAAATTCTTTATATAGCTAATATTCTTTATAATAATGACCACAATCATTATGTTTAGCATTTGTGTTGTTAATACCAAAGGAAAACAGGTTTTCAATATAAATCTCAGTCAAAGACATATAATTATTGTGAATTATATACAAAAGTTATTCCCGATGTGACGTAAAGACAGCTCTTTCTTACTATTGATTTAAATCTATGTAAAAATCTATATAAATTCATTGTCAAGTGCATCAAT